AGGAAGATATATATCTCAGCCTGGGTATTTTTTATTGAACTGTTCCTCCTGCCCGAGTAATTTATTATGTACTAAATATGTAAGCCTCTATTCCATGTAGATCTATGAGTTTATTTTATAAACCTTTATTTTAAAGGTATTTATTATTAGGTATGCTTATAGTTAGCAGCCTTTGGTATTTAAAATACAGCTTTCTAAATAGTTCTAAGACACTTGTTTTCTTAAAAATGCGCACTGTGAAATTAAAACTGTAGTTGTTACAACTGTCACTTTCTAAATGACAGTGTTGTGGCCTCTGCCTTCAGCCTCAGGCTGTTCTTGGATACAAATCCCTTTTCTGACCTCATATGTAGACGCCATTCAGAAGAATGAGTTTGGAATCCTATTCCATACAAGTCTGCAATTCATCTTCTGTTTTGGCAGAGAAGGCATGATCTACAACTTCACTCACTTGAAATAGGAAGTTTTTAATGATCCTAATTCCTAGGGGACTCTCCTGTCCCCTGGTTTGTACAAGGCCTTGAAAAAATGTTCTTTTGAGGCTGGTCCGGTGGCTATATTGTAACCTAGTTCTATATTCTTTGCAGAATTGCCACGCTCTAAACCAGATGATTAGTGTCTGTTAGTTTATTATTTACCTTGGTAATTTAGAGAACATGCTTCTGGGTTCAGGCATCATATTAGATGCTCTTTGGGGATGCGGGTTATTTCATCAACTCTGCTGGTGACACCCGTGCAGTCTTTCAGGCTTATTGTTCCATCCTGATTTGAGCCAGCATATCCAGCATGTGGAAAAAGTGAAGAAAGTAATTTCCACACAAGTTATTCTTGAAGCATTTGACTATCTCAGTTGAAAGAAAAACCCTGAAATGCCTTTCATCCTGGAGAATCTTTTAGTCTGGTGTCAGTGTTTGGCAGAGAAACTAACTCACAGGCAAAGGACTCATCCCTTTGCAACCTGCTTCCTCCTTTTTTTAACGACAGCGGCTGCCTGTACAGAGTGAGTACCAGCTGCTGAGTAGACGTTCGTCTTTGGATGGAGTATGCTGGAACTCGCCCTCTAGCCACATTTCCAATGTGGCAGTAGAAATGCCATACCACAGGAATGGGAAACTACACAAGAGACTCTATATGAAAATACAGACTTGATGGTGGTTTTGTGATGATGCTTGGAGGGGATTTGAAGCATCTTTCCTTGGTAATGAAATACAGAAGATTCTCCATTTCTGGGCGTAACACTGTTAACATCTCTATCACTTCTAGAGACAGAACAGTGTTTGTAACTTGGGACAGACATGTTCTGTTACAACTGAGCATTCACAGCTGCCACCTTTTCATGATTTCTTATTTGTACAGAAGATGCATAGCTTGTTGTTTAATTGCCTTGTTTTGGGTTCTGCACACCTATTTCTGTTTCTTGATATGCAGTGGCTCACCTTTTTATGATTTTCTGTGGGCATCACTACATCTTTAAGTGATTGCTGAAGAGCTAACTGCAAATATCAAATACCACTTCTTGCAAATAGCAAGTAGAGCTTCCCTTTTCCTCTGGAAGATGAATATTGAAACTTCAAACTGTGAAACTGATCTGGGGATGCACATCACAGTATCTTCCTCACTGCAAGGCACACGCTAATGTATCAAAGTTACACCAAGCTAAATTCACCAGACATGAGACTTGAAGGAATACCCCAGGCAGGTCATATGGAACCATACCTAGGATTGAATGTGCCTGGATGAAGCTTGCAGTGTTGCCAATGCACAGCAAGACAGGGTCTGCCATCCTCTTCTGCTGCCTTGTTTGACTTCTCTGTCCATTAAGCTGTGAAGCCACAGCAGAAGTGGCACCTCTCGGCATTATTTAAAAGTACATTTGTGTGCTCCAGTGAACTTGCATTGGACCGTATCTTGATGGAGGTCTGTCTGAACTCTTCTGTCTGAACTGGCTGCTTGTACTGGGCATACACTGTGGGGTTTGGTAGTAGGGGCTGCAGCATTCCCCTGTGTGGGAGGAGGTCGTGAGCTGCCCTGTCCTGCTACAGCTGGTTCCAGCTCGCTCTGAAAAGGAGGAAAACAACCCACTGTGGGCCAGAACTTCAGAGGAGCATGTGGTACCTCTGATCACACATATTGAAGAAAAGGAGCAGTTGCTGAGGGCAGGGGACATAAGGACACACATGAGGAAACGTGAGGATGTGTGTGAGGACACAGAAGGCAACAGGAGGAGATAGGGGAAGAGATGTACATCTGGAGAGAAGCAGCAGGGAAGTAGAAAGAGCGACGAGCAGGGGATGAAGAGAGTAAGGCACAGGGAGAGGCAACAAGAAACCTCTAGGCCCTGTGATGGCTGTTGTCTCACCGAAGGGGAAATGACTGAGTGTAAGGCCCAGGGGAAACAGGGGGAGCTGGGGTAGGAATCACAGAATCCTAGAATGGTTTAGATTGGCAGGGACCTTAAAGATCATCTACTTCCACCCCTCCTGCCATGGGCAGGGACACCTCCCATTAGACCAGGTTGCTCAAAGCCCCATCCAGCCTGGCCTTGGACACCTTGAATAAGGGAGAAGTGTTGGGCTGAGGTGGGGAGGGAAAGTGCTCTCCTAAGGCCTTGTTTAGCTCTTACTCTTTTTTCCTCAATACTTGAAGCTGTAATTAAAAGTTTACATTAATTGGCAATAAGCTAAGTGAATTTCTTCAGTTGAGACTGCCTTGCCCATGCGGCTCTAATTCCAGAAGGCATTGCAGCACTGCCATGACCTGAGCAGAAAGAGCTGATGGAAAGCCTAACAGTGGAGAGAAATGTGGCATTCGGTAACTTGTCCCCTGTGCATCGTCAGTGCATGGTCTCATCTGCCAGAGACGATCCTTTGTTCTGTTTCACATAATGGAGGGAAATGAGCAGCTTTAGGGGTGCGCTTTTTCCATTTATACAGCTTTTTTTTAATCAAGCGGCAACTCAGAAGTGCTGTTGAACTTGCTTTACTTCATCCTTCTTGTGAAAATTGAGTTTTCATACTTAATCACTAAAACATGACAGGAAAATATCTGAAGCATGTACCACCTGTTTTTCCTTTCATCTTGATTCATTCATTAGCTTCCTCATATTAAAAGCCCTCCAAGACACAATTAACCCTTTTTTAATACTGTGAAGCTTGAAATGTTCATTAAAACTCATTAAAGCAGAGAAACTTACTTTCAAAAGCAGTTTAATATTAAAATTTTCCTGATTTCTTTTCTGGTGGATAGGGTAGAATACTTAGGGTATGGCCATCACGGTTCCAGTCTTAACTGACTATTCAAATAATTAATAATAATTGGTTGCTTTACATTGCAGAACTGCACTCTGTGCTAGAAGATACTTTGATGAAATAATTTTCTATAATGGAATGTTGTTTTCTGAGTATGGACTATGTAATAATGATATTGTCAGTGAGTCCTTTCTGTCCAGTAAGAAGAAAATACCAGAAGTCTTGCATTTTTCTCCCCTTTACATTTTCCTGTATTGTGAATTGTACTGTTGCTACAAGAAAGCAAACATCTACTTATGTTTTCTGATTTACTGAGATGTTTTTGTTTTTAATATCCTTTAAAATGCACAAATGTGCAGTCCAGTTTGTTTTCGTACTTCAGTGCTTTTGTGTCAATGTCCATGCAGGTTGAATTTGTTCTCACTTTAAAAGAAGTAATTGTTTTGTATTCTGTTAATTGCCTAGTCTGTTTCCAGCATTGTATAAACAATCTTAGAATTGAGAAATTGATTAGAATAGACAAAATTCAGAATAACCTTCTAAGCTCATAGTCAGTGTTGTTTTCATCCTGCGAGTTTTTGTAGGGTGAAAATGACTAATCGCAAAGAGAAGTACCATGAAGTAAAATGGTTACTCTAAAGCAATAAACTGCCTTGGGTTTACTGAAACTGCAATAAAACTATCATGAAGCACTGTCAAAATGATTTATTTGTACTACTAATATTAGAAGTAATAAAATGTAGGTTTTACTGGTATGGTTATAGCTTTTGGTATCCATTTTATTAGACGACTCAACAGGTATTATATTGTATCGTACAATCATAAGGTATTTTATAATCTAGCTTTTACTGAAGCAGAATATTCATAGGGAAAATAGTTTTGATATTTATCCTTCTGGCTCAGAAGTGAGCATACTGGATCTTTCTATGGGTCATTTGTTGCTAAACTTCTAATTTTATCTTAAAACTGACAAAAAAAGCACCATGAAAGGGATGTGCTTTTGATTATTGTGAACTATATTTGGTAACTGAAATTATAATTCAGACTCATTCCACCTTTATCTTTAAAAATAACTTTAAAAATATGAGCAGGACTATTTATAGTCTAAAAATATTAGCTGTTTTATACTTAAAACCCCGTGGATAACTAGTAGAATAGGATTTTCAGAAGTGCTCAGCATCAACCTAATTCTGTCCAGAAGAAACTAAAAAATGAGAGGACTTAGGCCAGTCCTTAGAAATCTCCTGTAGGTACATGATGTTATTCTTATCTGCCACCTCAGTGAAAATTACAAACGGGGTGACAAATATGATAATAGCCTATCTATAGGTAGATGTGAAAGCTGTAATCTGCCAGGATTGCTCTTACTCGATGACAAGCAAGATATGATAGAGACAAAAATTTGGAAGAAAAATGGTTTAAAGGGAAAATGTATTTGGATACATGCCTGCACAGAGACAGGACAGCATTACAAATGGGAAAGTATAAGATGAATTGCCATTGAGAGCAGTGTAGACATTTCAAGAAATAATACAAGTCATGCACACGTATTACTGATTTGTGCCTTGTTAATTAAATGCCCTAATTCTAATCAACCGTGCAGTTATTTCAAACAGACTTTTACAGCTTAACAGATACAACTTTGGAATGCAAAGCTTTCTGAGCCACGATGATTTGCTGTAGCTACTTATCAGTACCTTGAAAAAAAATATTGTGATTCTTTACAAAGTTGTCCTTATGCTTCTTTTTAAGGTATGGGATGCTGTAGATACAGGCTGCTGTTTAAAAACATATTCCTGTCACTCCTGCGCTGTCCGAGCTGCCCGGTGGTCATCTTGTGGAAGAAGGATCCTCAGTGGGGGCTTTGATTCCATGCTGCATTTAACTGATGTAGAAACAGGTAAAGGTCACATAAGGGTGCTTTATAGCCCTATCTTTATTGAATATAGATAACTTTGGATCTCATTAGCCTTATTCTTTCTTCTAAAATTACAGATAAAATCTATAGATCAAAGTTAGAATTCTTGAAACAAGTCCTCACTAAAAAAATATCTCAGCAATTAAGGGTACTTGGAGATATTTAAGAAAACTGACATATCTTTAACTTCATGATCACATATAATTTCTGTTGTCAGATACCGCACAGATGAACAGAATGAAACGTGTTTTTTATGCTCTGTCATGATCATTCATTAAAGCGTTTGAAGACACTTTTATATATGGTTAATTTAAACATAGGCTTGTACCTCATTCTCACTTGGGTTGGTTTTAAGTTTGTGCTTGAAGTTAATTAGGTGATTTTTATTTTTTTCTTTTTGAACAGGACCTTTATTAGGAGTATAGAAACTTAAATTCTTATATGAAACCTTGAGACTGAACCTGTGTTGCTTTGATGCAGCTGTGAATTTGGTTTGGTATTTGATTGTTGTGACCATAACAATTAGATTCCTGGATGCTGTCTCTCCTCATGTCTCCTTCACAAGCTAAAGTTTATCAGGTGTATTTCTTCTATCCTTTGTGTATGTTATCAGTATTCATACAGCAGCATTCATTGAGGCTGTACATAACAGGGCATCTCTGTGTATGGGTAAATGATTAGGCCTAAAATAGTAGCTTTTCAACTGAAGAGACGGAATTTTATTTTTTCCACTAAATTTATTTTTAAATGTTTAACTCCTTCAAAGGTGCAGTATTTTTTTGTAAGACTACAAAAATTACAAGCGGTTCTTGTCTACCTGGGTTTTCTCTTACGTAAAAGTAAGAAGTACATTGTATGTGAATATCTGGAGAGCAGAAATTCTATTCAGATGAACTGGGAAAGTGGCCAGGAAACTTGTGAATAATGTTCACATGAAAAGAAGATTCTTTTCCTTGCTCTAAGAACTTATTTTTCTCAACATTTGTCATACCAGAAGTATTTGAATTCAATGATGGCTGGAAGGGAGCTGTTGTAGTTTGGGAATGTAAAACATTTGACACAGCTACGGAATATTGGTGTTTCAAGAATATTCAGGTTCTGTAATGGGGGAAAGAGCTTTATATATCTCATGTAGTAGTAGTACATGAGGTTAATATACCAAGACATTAATTTTGTCAGACGACTTGTCTTTTTTTATTTTCAGTCTCATTGCAGCAACCTTCTCATTTCTAGTCTCATATATAACTGAATCTTATTAATCCAAGGGGAATTTAATTTTGACTGTAGTGCTTACAAATTCTAAACACAATGGGTACTGCTGTTAATGGGATTTATAGCAATAGAATAGATTTTATGTGCCTGAGTCATTGGAAGGGACTACTCTGGGGAAAACCTAATTTTATAAAATCATAGAACAAATTTCAAAGATATGTAATTTTAATCCTATACATTAATTTCTAACATCTCTTTGCATAACTATCCAGTAATGGGAGAGTAGTGTGGGTTAAGTTAATTGTAGTGGTTCATTTGAAAGAAGCTATCTCTAGTGTTTTAGGCAATGACAACAGTAACAAGTTATATTTACTAAGTTTCAAAATGGATAAGCTTATAAATGGTTTTTTACTTACTGACTTGTGAGTTATGTAGTATTTCTAACTACTTAAACTGTATGTGTAATGCAAAATAAATGCTTATAACCCTTGAATAAAACAGATATTCATTATTGCCTTACTTCAAGGACGCAGGATTCCTCGCAGCTCCTGTGAGCTGCAGTTGTAATATTGGTGTTTGGACCTGACTTTCAGTGATACGCATCTCATTTGGATATGAGTATGATATGAATGATTGGAATTTTATTCTGATTTCCTACATATGCAGGCCAGTTTCTGATTTCCTTCCCTGTTGTAAAGTTACTTATTTTTTTCATGCATTTCAGTCAATTCTTTTCAGAGAAACAGGGCAAGCAGTTTGCCTCTGGAATCCAAATCAATTTGATATAAAAAGCCTCATTTCCATTTGAAAAACACTAAGGCAGCTATAAGATTTTGATTTACATTAGTTCACTGAATCATTCATTCCTTCCTCCTCACTCTTCATCAGTGCTGAGATGATTTCTTCTTTGATTAACTTCAGATAGATGTTAGAACTGTTCCTTCACAGAGGACTTTTAGATACTTTTTTGGACTTCAATCTTAATTACTTTCCATTGCTAGACTGAATTAACTACCAGTGTGTTGAAATGCAGTACATGCATGCTGGTGGAATTTTATAAATAATAATACTGTCTTTAAGGCTCTATGCTCTTGTCTCTTGCGTATGTTCTTCTGGTTCAACATTTTTCTAGTCATGTTTGCTAAAGACTAATCGTTCTCATCTTTGTTTTCAGTATAGATTTTAAATATTACATTTGTGTTATAAAAATTGCTATGTGTCCTTCACCAAAAGAAACCTAACAGTCTGAATAGACTTACTTTTAAAAGTTTAGGAAAGGTTGCAAATACAGTATTGGTATTGAGCTGCTTAGTTGGTGGGGTTTTTTTGTCATTTGGGGTTATTTTTCTGTTAGGACCATAGTTTGTGCCCTATTAAATCAAAATTTTGCTCTAGGTAATTGTTTGTTCTGGGTCTGATGGCATCTAGTTATGAGATTCTTTAAAGGAATATGGCAACATCGTTGTAACAAGCAGTGCTAGAATAAATTCTCCAGGAGATTTTGTTTCTAAGCTTGAACTTAAGTTTCGGTATCCCTTGTCCTGGGATATTGCATTTTCTGGAGTGATTTCTTTTTTTTTTTTTTTTTAAATCTTTGTCATCTGAACAACATAGTAATAGAAACAAACACTGAAATCTAATGTGATTAGTGAATCACAAAGCAGAATTTTTCTTGTTGTTGGCATAGAAATCCTGATGCAAGGGTAAAAGACACATCCATGAAATCTTATCCTGCAGTTTTACACCATCAAACCTTATCCCTTTGTCAAGTGTATCACTGAAAGTTCTAATATATAAGAAGATCTAAGATGCTGCAAGCAGGAAAAATGGGCTGATAGGACCCTCATGAAGTTCAACATACACAAATGCGAAGTCCTGCATCTGAAATGGATTAATCATGTGCAACAGAACAGGCTGGTGCTTTTTTTTTGGTGCTATTTTATATACATTATTTCTTTTTAAAAAATAAAGCTTTTTGAAAAGTTTCACAAATGTGATAATGCTGCAGCGGTCTGAACCAGTGAGACAAAATCTCACTTTGTTACATTTTGCTCGTCTCTACTAACACCACACTTGCAGTCATTTTCTACTAGTGATAGTTCAGACACTTTGTTATTTACAGCGTAGTAAATAGTGCTATATTCAAAGAGCACTCAAAAAAAAAAGCTTTTAAAACAGTCCTAGGTCAAGTACATTTGACATTTAACTTCTGTTACATCTGGATGTGATGGAGATGCTCTAGCAACTTTAGAAGGGTAAGTGTATTTTTAAAATTTATTTATAGCTATTTTATTTTTGGAATATATGTTTTATTCATCAGTGTTTTTTTCATTAGTCACAAATGAATTGGTACAATATCACAGGCAGAACATTGGCTGGGTTGATACTATTTGCATACTGTAGATACTTTTCATTTCTTTAATATTATGACAGAGGGAATGTTCCAAGAAATTTTGGCACATTTCCTGCATTGCCAAATGCTGCAGTTGTATTTTAGTTCACGGACTGAGCTTAATTTCAAATAAAACTTCCTCAGATTTATAATGGTGAATTGAAATTCCACACTATTTTGCAAGTTTTATCAGTATCATGACTAGGATATTGAAATTAAGCTGTTGGTTTTGAAGGAAAGTTCAGATGATATATAACATGGTCACATAAGTCTTTTTTTTTTTTAACTAATTTTATTTTATGTTATTTTGGGAGTTTCTTAATGGAACAATTTTTACCTCCAAGAGGATTGTCCAAATTTGCTTTTCTATATTTTATTTTATATTATAATTTGGTTGTCCTACAGATATTATTATTTTTAATGTAATTCCACTTCTTCACATAGGAGTTTTAGTCCTCATACATAAACATCGCCACAGGAGAGCTGGGACTTTCTTCTGTTATTCCTTCCCTTCTCTCCCAGTAATATGCAGACAGTATGGTGTTTGAATATGCATGAAGTTTTTTTATGACACCTCAGAAAAAGTCCCAGTTGATTGATTTTTCTTTTTTTAAAAAAAATTATTTCTTTGGAATGCATACAGACATCCTTGATGTGAGGTCTCAAGATTCGCCCCAAAATTCAGGAGTTTCAAGTAATCTGTTGAACATAGTTTAGTGGTCGCGCTCCAGCTAGGAGGTAACAGCATTTTACTTTTTATAATCACTAATGTAATGACCTTGCAATAAGAATAGAGAAAAATTTTTAGTTTGGGGACATTTCCAAGGGTAAAAGATAAAATAATTTAATATTTCAAGCACTTTTGCACTCCAGAAACTTGTGACTATGTAGGGGGAAAAAATTACGAAACATATCGTCAGTATAACTTTAGTTCTTGGGAAAATAGTAAAGCAATTTGTAAGCATGCCAAGATAAAATGGACAAGTAACAGCCAACAGCAGTTTGTTAAGAACAATTTATGTCTGATCAATCTAGTTTTCCTCTTGCTATTCTGCGTGACAGATATTGCGACTGTAATAAGATTTTTATTTTTATAATATATTGTCTTATGTCTTTTTGTAAATACGGTAGGGAAATCCATTCTGCTTAGCAAGATCACTTTCATGTCCTTGTAAGTCTTAGGCTTCACTTTTCTTTACAGATTAGCATAAGGAAGTGTATTGGATTATGCAGGTAGAGGTGTGAATCAGAGAACCACTAAACACAGTTACAGAAGCATCCTGTGCTCAGTAACTGTGCTGATGTTCTGTGAAGAATTCACCATGTTAAATAGCCTTTAAAATATCTGATTTCATAGTTGAGCAGTTTCACAGTAGGCTGCAACATAAAGAAGCAGAAACATATGTTCAAGATGTTTTTAAAGATTTTTTTCATACTGTGTATGTTACTGGTGAGCCTTTAATGTATGAAGAATTGAATTAAAGCACTTTCAGAATATAAAACACACTGCAAAGATGTAGTAGATATTGTTACTGAAATTGTGAAAATTAAAGATTGAGAGAAACGTTTGCTTTTTGCTTTGGAATAACAACCTCTCATACAGGAAAATGATATGTGGTATGGGTTTTCCCTCAATTAGCCAAATAGATTTTCAGAAGATGTAATTTTCTACAGGCTATGAGTTGGTTGAATCTTTGTTATGCTGACTTTAGGAACTAAAATACAATAAATATGTACACATTAGAGGTGTATACAAGGTTGCTGATTTATACCCATTGTACTCTATTATGGATAAGGGAGTCTTCTGCTCAAAGGATATCATTTGCAATATCTAAAATAAGGCCTGAAAGGTTGAATGTGTTTAATGTTAATAAACTGAGTAACTGTAGACAAAATTATACGTAACTGTAAATGCTGACTGCCAGAAAGGTGAGGCAGGATCTCCAGCAACCACTGCAGCTGGATTTCCCAAGCATGGGGCTAGGCTCCGTCACAGCACAGTTACAGCACGGGAAGCAGCAAATTCCGCTCAAAGTAGTAAAACACACTAAATAAAGTTTGTACAGAAGGGGGCTGAGTTGAAGTCATTGTTTTAATGTACTGAATTGCATGAGCTATTTTGCCCCACCTCATCTTCCACAGTGATCTGTTCATCTCTCAGGTGGATATTTGTCCTTAGTTTCTGAGGTTCTGAAAGATTTCTAGTGACAGAGGTTTCACAGCTGTGAAAAAAATGTGCCTCAGCACTTCAGCCCTGCAGTCCTGATACCTAAAAGGGAAGAGTTTAGGGGATGTATTCATATAAATGTCAGGAAGGTTCATTTTGCTGGGTTCAGGCATGTTTGTATGGCAAGCAGTCTGATTTAGATTGTGTATTGTGCATAAATCTCAGTTCTAGCAATAGGAGGGTTTCTGTGGTGCACTATTGTGATCCTTCTCTTTTGGGTACGTTGTGTGCTGCTTCTTTGCTCCCATGCTCTTCTTTTCCCCATTCCAGCCTTTTTCTCATTTTCTGTCACGTGGCAGTAGAATGAAATTCGTGTATGCATCTAATAATGCCAGAATCTTCAGAACACTGTTTACTGAGCTTCCAAAAAGAGACATTTGATTCAATTTCACTTGGGGGAGTGAGAGAATGAGAGAGAGAGTTGTATTTCAAAGCATTAATTGGAGACCCTGAACTTTTAAGATTAATGTATTCTGATTGCTCCTCAGACCAGTCAAAAAGCTAGCATGGTTAATAACTGAATCAAACAGGTTAAAATAGGAAAAAGGAGGGGTTAAAGAGTATAGAGGTGAATGATATGCTCAACTTGTTTGCATTAATTTTCTTTAGTATTACACTGTAATGTAGAATTCGTAAAATTACACTGTGATGATCTGGGTGCTGTGAGAGCTTCTGGGTAAACAACAGTCTCTAGAAGACAAGAAAATGGCAAACACAGTGCCCACTTCTGTCTTAAAACAGGGGGAGATGAAGTAGGGAATTAGAGAATTTTAGTTTCTGGAGAAAATATTGAGCAAATGATTGAATCACTTGGAAGCAGCTGGGGATGAGATTGAAAGATGGACTAAGTAATAATAAATTATGTTAAATCAATCTTCTTTCTGTGGAAAAGGTAACAGATCTGGTAGTTAGTAGATTAAATACATCTTCAATGTAGTGCACGTCTTCTTTGATTGTGTCTTACCTGGCTTTCTCATGTCTTGGGCTAGAGCATTTGTGGAGAGCACAATGGCAAGAAAAATGTATGCGTTATAGAAGGAGCAGTTTTCAGAAGTCTTGTGGAGGTAAAACCAGGTCTCAGTAAAATCAGTTAAACAATTAAGATTTTTTGGAAGGTTAGATGATGAGTTCCACTGCATCACTTATGTATATATCTAATGTCATTTAGACAATACACTTTATGGAGAACTATGACCTCCTTGATGTGTCCTTTGTGAAGCTGTTTGACAGGAATAGTACAGGTAGGCTGCAGTTTGCTAATTTCTGGCTGCAGTACTATTAAAAACTTGTTGATTGTATTAACAGAGTGTTTATTAAACTAGGTACTAGTAGGAACCAAATTCCTTGGGAGCAAAGTGCTATTAAACTGACTAGTGAGCCTCCATGGGGAAATTCAGTATGTTTCTCAAGTGCTGTGGATGAGAGTAAGATGCATGTGTATGTGAATTTTCTAAAGCCTGCAAATGATTCCTGCTAGTGGTGTACGTGAGACCAATATTTGTTGCTCCTGTAACAGATGATTTTAATACTTTCTTTCTTCCCTACGGAGTCTTTTTCCTTCTGTAGCTATTGGGGTACTGAAAGCTCCCATGGTGAGAGACGGTCACTGTTGCGTATGACTTGCAGGGAGGGCTTCTGCTGTCCTTGTGACTTTTTTCTCTGGGGAAGGAACTTATGGACTACATTAAATCTTTCACTCAGTAGTGACAGAGAGGCCCTTTAGCTCTTGCATGAGTAATCAGTGGAGAAACCATTAAAAAAGAACAAAAAACCCCTACAAAGCCCTGTTTTCACATAGAACAACATTCACCTCTCCCTTATGCTCCCTCCGTGCTAGCTTGAAGAACACGTGATGAAGTAAAATCTCTCTTTTCTTTTCTTTAAAACAAATGAATAGATAATTCGACAAGTCATAGCCTCTTGACTGTGTAAGTTGAGTTCAGCAGATGGGGAAAATGGGACTTATGACAAAATCAAAGAAATTGGCTCCAAATCATAAAATAAGCATAAAAAAAAATCTATGAGTCTTTTTCTGAATTATTCACCTCACAGTATTTACACTCATCACTGATGTTTTTAGCTCAAGGTATTTTCAGTTGTTTAAGAAAGCCCATCTTGAGACAACTCTCACTTGCTAAGAATGTAGATTAATGAATATTTTAAGAAGCTTTTGTCATTGTATTTTAAGGGTTCTTTTTGACTTCTGCAGTGCCTTCTTCACTGTGGCTTAAAGCAGTAACTTTATTAAATGTAGATCTTTATATGTAATATGTAGACTATAAAGCACAACTGAAATTGTGAAACCAAGTAAATGTATCTATCTTAGTCCATGCTGCTCTTCCAAAAATGGTATTTCAGTGAATATACATTAATATCATGAATTTGTTAGGATGAAAGGAAGCAGCGGACTGTGGAAAAGTCCTATAAATTAACCTAGCTGAATTCTGTTGCCTTTGAAAGTGTCGACAATCCAATTGCTACTAACCACAGGATCCTGTGGAGATTAGTGTACACAATTAACTGTTGGGAATGGTGTATCCATGGGAACAGCTATTGCTTTCATATTGCCTTCATGGTATGCAAATTATTTCCTACTTTCAAGAAGTTTCGCTCCTACCTTCACAGAAAGATAAGTAAACAACTCAAGAGCTGTAGTATAGTTTGAGATGTGGTATTTCTGTACATATAATATTTTGTTCTCGTTATTTTTATCCCAGTGAAAGAAAGACTATGACTTCTCTGTAGGGGAACATTCAGTCATTAGGTTTGTAGATTTAATCCTGCATGATAACTGAGCTGGGACCTCGGTGGAGCTTCTCTTAGTGTAGGAAACCACTTGGACTCTCCTCTCAGTAGGAAGTAGTCGGTAGTGGAGAGGCCCATGAGCAGGAGTGAGTTGAGTCTTGTATTTTCAGTACATCAGAGTATCCCCAGATACTTGAAATGTGTTAATATAAACATATTCACCTTTGACAGCCTTGATATTTTTGAAACCGGGTTGAAATGGATAACACATTTCATTTTCTGCTCAAATTTTAATCTCCACTTCTCACTTTATTTTAGGGAAGCAGATATTTAGCAGCAAAAATGAATTTAGGATCAGCGTGCTGAAGTTTCACCCTACAGAGTCAAATATTTTCATTTGTGGAGGGTTCAGCCCAGAAGTTAAAGCTTGGGATATAAGGACTTCTAAGGTAATGTAAATCTTTTTTTCTCTTTCTCTTTTAGGATATTTCCCGGGTTGGATGTGCTGTGCATTACTAAGCTGCTAGATGTACTGCTCTTTCGATGAAATGTTATTCTGAAGTATTTTGCATTTGTCATTGATTGTGGTGCCATTTGTTGATATGTACATCTGTAATATTTTTTAAGCACTTAGAGGAATATTGTACACAAAAAATACGGGTTTTTTTGGTTTATGTAAAAATGAGTAGCATATAATTGAATTAAATAAAGCCAATATCTCACTCCTGGATTGTGAAAAAGGCAGTTACGTACTAGGAAGCAGTACAGCTAACTTGCTCTTCAAGCTGTTAGGTGTGGGTCAGGATGTGTGTGCTTGTACCTTTTGTGGAGAAGCCTGGAGTAACTTTTGCATTCATGAAAGGGGGAGAGAGGCATGTCCAGCCTCTGCCTTTACTTTATCCTGAACTATGCAGAATGGCATATACCCAGCTGCTGTTCAGAGCTCAGGTAAGACCAGAGCTGTACTCTTCCAGTGGAAGTGTAAGGTAAGCTGACATCCTCATGCACAGAACAGCTCGAAGAGCAGCAGTGACTGTAAAGTGAGTAGCTCTTTGTTTTCCTTTGAATTTCTGTGTGGGTAGATCCTACTCATTGTAGTTAGCCATCTGTTTGCTCTTGAGGATGACAGAAGGGATCTGAGAAAGATAAGACTGCTTATCCAAACTCTGTCTCTGGCTTTGGTGTAGTAAGAATAATAGGTAAGAGATGTAGGCAGATGCATTTCAGGTATGAGGGCTCTAGCAGGAGAGCTCTGAAATAGTTATGGGAGTCACTCTATTAAGGAAACACAGTATTATTGTGTAATTAACAATCTGATTCCTGTGCTGCAGTTCCTTTGGGTTTGTCACTGGTGTTTGACAAAAGACTTTAATTGTGTAGGACCTATACTGCAGGCTTCCCACACGTGAATAAGTTCATACAAGAAAAACATTACTAAGTGCTTATCAAGACTTCCAAGTCTGAGGCTACTCTGAAGATAAATTTACTGTGATTTTCAAAGTTACAACGTCAGCGTGAAAACCTTTGTAAAAAGTCTGATGGGATTTTTTTCATCCATCACATTTGTATGATGGCCAGTTGTCTTTGATAAGGATATGAAGAGATACTCAAAGCACAGTTCTATGAAGGAAGATTATTCTAGTTTTAGATTGCAAAAATTGTAAGTACTTACAATAAAGAATACCTATGTAACTTTTAAAAAAATTATGGGTTTTTCCATAGTAACTCTTCCCTCCCTCCTCCTGCCTTGCACTGGTGTACGGTACTCTGGTGTTGTCAGTAAGTGATTTTGGTATACTGTCTTTAGCATGGGCAACTTAATAGAACATAAAAATACGTATGACACAAATAAGAAATAGTACCAGTTCAAAGGGTGTTCATTCCAGATGATCAGATGTTACTCTGTAAATTTACTGTAGAACAAGGACATTATTTTTTTTTTCTGGCAGGGGGCTGGAGAAGAAAGTCCAAGAGAAGTCTTTTCTCCTGAACAGCAGGGTCAGTGGTTTCATGGCATGCAAATGAAGTAGGGAATACAATTGTTCTCTCTTGTGATTCTCATAACAGTAGACCTTAACTGGGGGGAGGAGGTGCAGTCTGTAATTGAACACTTAGCTGTCCTTTTTAACACAGAGAAGACATTGTATGTCATGGTAGGCTGAACTTCCTTTAAAAAGTACTTCAGGAACTGAACGGGTACTGAATGGTTTGACATTCTTGCAAAGTCTTCTTAGTGAAACTGTTCCTGAAAAGCAGCAGTAGACGGAAAACATGTGTCCACTAATAAACAGTGTTGCTCTATAGGGTGAAGGGAAGTAGAGAAGTGTAGAACATAGTTTTCATGAGGCATTGTTGCAATGAGGAGCAGACAAATGTGTTGAGATGGAGATTGCAGTAAAAGGTGGAAAGATAATGGGCAATGTGCAATTTGTGAGGTGTTGGTCTTTGTAAAAGACATTGTAAGAACATAAAGGAGCAAGCCAATGCTGATAAACTAGACTTTAATAGCTCACCCATTCATATCTTCTGTAATTCTGATAAAACTACCAGTGGCCTGGCTTGAGATGATCTTCTGGTATATTTTAACTGTAGTAACTTTTGTGTAAACTGTATGTCTGGCAAAATCCCAGAGGAAAACTGCAGTTTTCAGTACTTTACCAGTTATAAGAAACAATAGTTATGTTTGGAATCACCTTTGCGTAGGTTGCTGGGGGTGATGTGTAAGCTGCGTGTGTGTCTGCATGCAGAGCCAGTAGTGAACACTTTAGGTGACAACATCTATGATTCATTTCCAGAGGACAAACAGACACCGTAAAAGCTGTTTGTGTCTATGTAGAAGTGACACACAAACACTTAACATTTTATTAATTTGACTGTACATTCACTCTAAAACAGCCCTCATGTTTTCTACTAATTAGGGAGTATATTAGCTTTATGAAATTCAAACAGTATGTTATTGTGTCTTTATGATTTCCTACTGTGTTTTTTTTGCCTCCTTGCTTACTGGTCTGGGTACAGTGCCTTTTTCAAATGGCTACAACGAGGTATTTGTCTTTCCTTGGGCCATCCCCTGTCCACTTTTAATAGTGTTGCAGTAGTAGGGGGTACTCATGATTGTTACCTTACGAATTTTTTCTTTTTGACTGAGAGTGTTGCTGTTGTGTGCAACATTGCATGCTGTGACATTCTTTGATCCCATCTTATGATGCGATTTCTCAAAAGGCAGTGTGTTCTGCAGCCAGGATGCTATATACAGCAAAAATGAGACGAGCAGAATAATGCGTTTTTATCTCAAGGACTAACCATACACTCATTTTGCAATGCTGAAGCTCCAGCCTTGGAACCTGCCTTAAAGAGCTGTTGATCAGTGAGAAATGCACACAGCGGTTTGTCTCTGTACCTGCAGGACACTCCAGTGCTCAGAAAGATTGTGTGTAACTCTATTTCAGTAAGCTGATGCTAATGAAGAGGTTAGGAAAACATCCCACCATATTACAAGGAAATCATTTACTTTCCAGGAGAATAAATAGGTGAATGAATGTGTATTCTGACAGGTAAAATAGGAAAGGTTTTAGGCTTGGTAAAGCAAAAACCCCAGCCTGTTTCGTTTTTACAGATCCTGTACTGGGTTCTGTCTGGAAGTTTTTAGAAGCTGTTACCTGCTTTGTTCATTAGGAAACAGTTATATTCATGTAGAACTTCATCAGCTGGAAAACTAGCCGATTAAGTAGCACATGAGGAATATTAATTTTAATAACGAGCAGTGTCTAATCACCTCAGAAAGTGGAAAGTTTGGGTTTAGCCTGGTAACAGATATTGATCCTTTTTTGTTGTTGTTTTTTTGACACGTTTGCTCATTTGAAAACCATAATTTTGTATGTACTGCGATTGTCTAAAGCAGCAGTGTGGTTTACTCTCTTACTCTGAAACATTTCCAAAAGGGGGAGAGAGTTTCTATTATCTTTTGATTTTTTTTTTCCCCCCCCATCTGAGGTAGCTGTAGCTCAGTAATGGGTGTAGACTGCTAGACACCTACTTTTGTATTGGTTTTAAAATTTGAAGAACTGTGTGTGTACTGAGTAAATGTGGAAGGTTATAGCTGAGTGGAGAAAACGAGAAAAATATCAAAATCTGATTTGATTGCTTATAGCTTCTTGCAGAATGGTGAGTATCACCTATGCATCATTACTGAAAATAACGTAGTTACATTTTGAACTCTCAGCCATAGAATGGTATGTTGGTGAGGCATGAATCATCGATATCATCAGTATCTCATGTCTGCGTCTCCCTAGTTTGGGGGATTTCAATGGATTCTTCAGGTGTTCCTGCTTTCAGCGTATATTGTTATCTTTATTCACAAGATAAAACAAGCATGCTTTCAATCTTCTCCATCTTACACAGTTATGGCCATATTCCAGGTTGGATAAAGTGTCCTGGCCAACATTTTGAAATTTATACTTTTCTAACAAGTGTCATTTGCTCTTTACTGAAATAGATGTCTGAGGTCTCTTGCCACTTCGGTTCAGTTCTGATACGAACAACCTTAATATCTTTCAAGTGCTTTCATCCTAATTCATTGCAAGATTTTTCTGTTTTGCCTGTTTTTTCAAGTATATTAACCTGTCATTCAGCTTGGAATGATGTGTGGGTGAACTAATGATTCTTTTTGTTCCCATCATCATACTCCTGATAGCCTTTTCAGGATTTGCAGCATATTTTGTCAATAGAGTGAGCGCCCTAAATCAAGAGCTTGAGTCTTGTTACTCATTGCACATTGAAAACTCAATATCAGCATTCGCTGGTAATTCAATTTCAGAGGTCATTCGTTGGGATGTACTCCTGTACTTTAACAGGCTATCTGCTTGCATATCTGAAATTTAACTGTGAGGCAAAATGATAAATGTATATTGGGAAATGAAGGAATTTTTGGTGGAAATACAGAGCAAAGCATCACGGAGACAGAGAATGAGTAATAACAAAAATATTGTCCAATTACTCATGCATATGCAGTGTTTGAAATGGGCTGCTCGATGCCAGTGTGCCACATTAGTGCTTTCTGGTGATGGAAAATAACATAGAATAGCTGATAGTGGTATTTATCCAAATTAGTACTTCTGAAATCTCGTTTTGATTTTGATGGGCAACTAATTGTTAATAGGAGCATAGACTTATGAGCATAAATTACTAATATTTATTTATATATCAAATGTGGTATAAAAATTAGATTTCTAAGTCCCAGAGAAAATGTATGAAGATAGGTTTGAGGCAGCCTTTCAGCTAAAACATTAAGAAATGTACAGTAGGCTATTAATCAGTAAGGCAGATTAAAAAAAAAAAAAAAGAGGAGGAATGTTGAAAGACATTTATTGCTATGCCTGTTCTGTTGAGCAAATAGGCAAAATGAATTCAAATGTAGCATTGGGTATTGAGCAAGATAAAGAATGAAAGA